AAGCTCTGTGTCCACTTCTTACAAGGCCAGAGTCCCTCTGCTGTGTGGTTCTTGTTTTTTGGTGGTATTGACAGCCCTGGGAGAGGGGGAGACGTTGTTGTTGTTGTTGTTGTTAATGGTAGTGTGTGCTAATTTAGCACACACTGTTCCCTGTCCCTCCCTCAGCAGCATTCTTAGTGCAAAGTCTTAACAAGGTCAACGAGGCCACTACCGTGTTCCTTCCAAAGAGTAAGAACTGTCAGCTCCTAGCTAAGAGATAGCCAGTCCCCTTCGCTATCTCATCTGGTTATTCAGTAACCAGTATCTGGGCTGGGGCGGGGGGAGCAGGACTCTTAAGAGGTGCCTCCTCTCACTAACAAAAGACTTGGAGGGTCATGGGGCATCTGGCCCCACCTGAAACCACCCCCCCCCCCGTGTCCCTTGGCCCCTGGCCTGCTTGCCAGGCCCAGCCCCATGCGTGCGCACGCTCAGGGGCTCTACACATTTTGTAGCCTGCTCCCCACTGGGGCCTCTCAATTCACGAGGGATGGACTTGTGAGAGGAGAAGTGAAACCCATAGCTGCCCAGCTCAGGGCGAATGTGAGCTCAGTCCTTAACTGGCCCCACGTCCCCAGTGAACAATGGCACCTGGGCCTTCTCCGAACACCTGACCGAGTGCAACACTGGAGCAGGAAGAGATCCGGCCCCTAAGAGCCCCGTCCCGGCAGTGGTGTGACTTTGAACTCATCCTTCCATCCTCTGGAGTCCTGTACCACACCACAGAGCCCCGGGAATCATGTTCTCCTGCGAATCTTGGCAGAGTTAGCTGTTTTTTTGTTCTGTTTTTGTTTTAATGGGTCATGGGGCTTGAACTCACAGCCTGGGCGCTGTCCCTGAGCACTTTTACTCAAGGCACTAGCCTTGGGCGCTCTACCACTTTGAGCCACAGCCCCGCTTCCAGTTTTCTCTTGGGCAAATGGAGATGAGAAGCTCACAGACTTCGCTGCTTGGGCTGGCTCTGAACTGTGATCCTCAGATCTCGGCCTCCTGGGTGGGATTGCAAGTGTGAGCCGCCGTTCCAGGTGGGAGTCAGGTTCTGTGGGAGGTTGAGATCTCGCGGTGGGGCAGGCCCTGAGAGGAGGGCAGGGTGCTGGCGTGGACCCGTCCTCACCCTCTCGTCTGCTCCGTGAGGGCGCCATGGGGTGGCCTCAGAGCCACTTCCCCTTATCATGGCAGACTCCACATAGACCTCCACCTGCTTCAGGCCCGGCCAGCGCGCTAGCAGTGTCCCCGCGGGCCCGGGTAATATACCGTGGGTTGGTGGAGAGTAGAGGGTATCCCCAAATCTCTACCTTTCAGCTGAGTTGAAGGGAAGTCTGCTGGTCCAGTCAAGGTTGGGTCCAGTCTTGGTTTTTAAAATAGAGCAGCAAAAGGCTGCCTTCACTCCAGCCAATCGGAAAGAATATCAGCGGCCATTTGTAAGTGTCCACCGGGTGACAGGAATACTCCACGGGCCATGACTTCATCCTCTCACGCCCCCAGCGGCTGGGCTACTGGAAAGATGATGAGCAAACACACCAGCTTTGATTGCTAGGGCTCTGCTGTTTTCTCTTTTAGATAACAACTCCTGGCAATAAACCACGGGGGAGGGGGTCTGCAATTCTCCCACGTGACGCAACACCCTGGCGTAGGAAAGCCCAGGCCCTCTGAGGATTCCTATCATCCTCAAGAGATGCCAGCATGCTACCGCTTGGTACCCAGGGCCCGGCCTGCTCCCAGCCATGTCTCCTCCTGTGCTTGGCAGCCCCAGAAATCCTGACCCATACAATGTTCCCAAACAGGTAGTGTTATTTCATGCCTCTGTGCCTTTCCATATACTGCTTCCTGCTCAGCCCTGCCCAGCCCGGCCACCTCCTGTTTATTTTTAAAGTCACACCTCTGGGAATCCTCTCCTGACTGAGTTCCAATCCCACCGCCCCCGTGTCCCTGGCTGCCTTCGCGTCACGCATGGCCTCTCATAGCACGGTCACACTCGTTCTGTATGTCTTTCTTTCCACTGATCTATGCACTCCAGTTAGGCAGACATCCTCTGTTTTTGTTTGTAACTAACTAGAGCTTGCGATCCTCCTGTCTCAGTGTCCTGAATGGATTACAGGCATACACTGCCTGACTCCGAGATCCCTCGCACGATTTCCTTTGCTGTCTCTTGATCCCTAGCGTGTGCAGGGTACCCGGCAGGCACCCAGGCAGAGGGAAGCGCAGCCTTGTTTTTGCCAAGTGAATGGGATGTGAGAGATGGGCATAAGGCGTTGTCTTGTGGCACATAATGCCTACGCAGGGTTGGGTGGGACAAAATTCCAGATGAAAGGGAGAAGGAGAAGTCTGGGAGAAGGAGAAGCAAGGAAAGGCAGGGAGAAGGGAAGGGGTGAGCGAGCCCCCCTTGCTGCTGTGTGGTAGTGGGGATGGGCGGTAAAGGGCTGCCAGCGGCTGAGTTGTCCGGCTGGGCACTCTGGCTCTGCCCCGCTTCTAAAAGCGTTCAGCATGTGTGCTCGGGTGCAGCTTGGCTTCCTAGTCCAGCCCAGGCTCCAGAGCTGGCCAGGTCCTCACTGCCTGGCCTGTCAGGAGTCTTGGTTCAGAGACGATCTGATTTGGCACTATGGTCAGTGGTCACACAGCCTGGCCAGGGCCTGGCACCGCCACGTGGCCAGCCAAGGTAGGCTTAGCCAAGGTCTGGGGGCTCTCACAGGTGGCACCACCCAGACCTAGGGGCAGGGCTAGGAGTGACACGACCTGTGCCATGGACAGGGTAATTCCATCTGGGAACAGCTAGTAAGGAAATCCGAGGCAGAAACAACTGAATGGCGTCCCTCCCGGCTTTCTCGGCAGTGCTCTGGGCGATGTTCTCTGGGGGACTGCAGTGTTCTTGCATTTATTGCAAAAAGCCAACTGGGTGCCAGTGGCTCACGCCTGTAATCCTAGCTACCCAGGAGGCTGAGGTGTGAAGATGGCAGTTCAAAGCCAGCCTGGGCAGAAAAGTGTGAGACTATCATCTCTAGTTACCCACCAGAAACCCGCTAGTGGTAGAATGCTTGCCTTGAGCAAAAGAGCTCAGGGACAGTGCCCAGGCCCGGAGTTCAAACCCTATGACTTACCAAAACCAAAACGAAACAAAAAAACCCAAACCCACAACAACAAAAAGCCCTATTGGGCATCAGTTACAGTTCTCTGAGTCTCATATATCCCTGGACTCAAGAGTCCAGAGCAATTTGGCAACCATTTAGAAGCACGAAAACTTTCCTGTCATCAGGTTTGCTGGTACCAATCACTGTGAGGGCTCTTTGGGTAGCCCCAGCTTCCTGGTAGAACTCAAGTCCTTAGAGGACCTGTGATCCAGCCAAGAGCCTTTGGGAACTAGTAGCCAGTAGCTGGCTCTATGTGAGTGGAATCTTTCTCCCTTCCCCTCTCCTTCCCCTCCTGTTTCTCTCCCCTCCCCCTCCCTTCTTTTCTCTCTCCTTCTCCCTCTCCTCTCTCTCCTGTAGACAGTCTTAATATGTAGCCTAGGCTGGTCTCAACTCATGGTCCTCCTGCCTCAGCCTCCCAAGGGCTGGAATTACAGGCAGGCACCACCACAGCTGACTTGGAACTTCATTCTTGCTGAAGTGAAAAGTATAGGGGGGAAATGTAAGCAATGAAGAAAGGAGCACATTCAGCTTCCTTTGCTTAATAAGATTAACTGAGGGGAGCAGTACAGAGGCTGAGATGCATGTAGAAAGGTCATTTGAAGGGCTGAGGTGAGGAAGAGCCCAACCCAAATTCAAGCCTTTGCTGCAATACCGTTTATTTCACAAGGGGTACCCTGACACATTAGAGGAAAGTTACTTAGGGGTTCAGAGGCAGATTCCCACGAGTTACAGAATGAGCATGGAGTGTCACCCTCAGGTTCAGGGAGCTGGGGGCAGGAAAGGGCACCAGGAAGCTCCTAGCTTTCTCCTCCACTTCCTCATGAGATCTCTGAAGAGCCCAGACACTGTGTTTTCTCTGAAGCCTGGCCCGGTCTCTCTGGCCTCTTTTTCTTTTTGGTGGTGCTGGGGATGGAAGACTGAACACTTGCTTGACCACTGAGCTGCGCCCCAGCCCCCATTCTGAGGTCCATTTTCCTTGAACTTCCTTGGGGAAGCAGATGGTGACTCAAGCAGGCCATGGAGCTCCTTCCCCAGACCCTGGAAATTCTGAGGGCTGCCTGGCTGTTCTTTCCATCTGACAAGAGCATGGGGTCAGGACAGGATCTGTGAGCCACCAGAAAGAATGATCTTTCTGTCTGTGAGGTATGGGGCAGTCATCTTGAGTTCCATCCCCAGCTGATCATCTCCAAATGTGGCTGAGCTCCGTCTGCTGTGTTCTAAGCCTAAGTGGCCATTTAGCTTCACTTTGAAGACAGATTCTCCTCCCCCTTCAGCTTCTCTCTTACTTCCTTTTGTAAAACCAGTAATGGGGCTTGAACTCAGGGCCTGGATACTATTATCCTTGTTGTTTTCTCATGGCTAGCACTCTACCACTTGAGCCACAGCTCCACTTCAAGCTTGTTGGTGGTTCATTGGAGATGAGTCCCATAGATTTTCCTGCCTGAGCTGACTTCCAGCCAAGATTCCCAGATCTCAGCCTCTACGTGGGTAGGATGATAATCACCAATCATTTCTGATACTTAGAAAATGACCTCAACTCCTTGTGGCCACCTACCTCTAAGACAGACAGGCCTTTTGCCCTGTGGAGGACTCAGGAGGAGAGGGATGGGAGGTACCGGTTAGCAGGCAGTGTCACACCCAGCCAGCAGGCAGTAGGCTGTTCAGGAACCTCAGAGGCCCTTGGTTCAGAGTCTCCCCCTGGCTTCTGCCTCCAAAAGCTTGAATGAAGATCCTGAAGGGAAAGAGCGGTGGGGCCAAGGCCCTGGGCTGCCCGAGATGGCGCAGCTGAGACACCTGGGCTGGACTTCTGCTGAGCCGGATGCTGTTCTTCTCCCGCAGGTTCCGAGGCTTCACCCTGGTGCTCACCTTTCTCATATACACCTGCTACCACATGTCCAGGAAGCCCATCAGCATCGTCAAGGTGAGGCTCTCGGACAGCACTACGTGCAGGGAACGGTCTGGATCTCAGGCTATCACCCTCCATCCAATCAGTGCACGGGATGAGGATGGCATCCTGCTACCCTGGGCACTGGGTTACCATGGTTACCTCCTGGCCACACCCACCGTCGGTAGCTCTTTTCCTCCCAGCAATGTTTCCTTGGGTGCCCCTTCCTTTTGAGTTTCCTCACCTAGCCCAGTCAGTAGGCTAGGTCCAGGAGGCCCAGTCAGCGGATGGGGTGAGAGTGCTGGAGGCCTGGGCTTTGTGTTCATGTGACCACCTTCCCCTGGGGCCAGACCCTGCTGGAGCAGGTGGCAGCAGCAGGGAGCGTGGACTCAGTGGGGAAGCAGGCATGCTGGTGTTTGGGGGAGGGTCACGCCTGACCTGAGCTTGCCATCCTCTGCCAGAGCCGGCTGCACCAGAATTGCTCAGAGCTCATCAACCCGGTCAACGACACCCATAGTTTGAATGACACCACATGGTGCAGCTGGAGTCCATTTGGTAAGAATGAGTCTGCCCTTCTCCACCCCACCCGAGAGCCTGAAAGGGCTTCCACAGGCGCAGTCAAGAAACCAACTTTGTCTCTCCTGCCTGCTTTTAGACAAAGATGACTACAAGGAGCTGCTGGGGGCGGTGGACAACGCGTTCCTCGTGGCCTATGCCATTGGCATGTTTATCAGGTAAGGAGAATGCAGCGTGCCGGCCCCTCCACGGGGAGATGGCTCAGAGCCACTGCTGCTCCTGACCGAGCTGTGGGAACGAGGCCAAGATTCCGCCCAGCCCATCAGCCCAGGGCCGGCAGCACCACGGGCGCCAAGGCCGCTCGTTCACCCGGTGGCCATGCACTGATAGCAGCTCCCCTTCCAGAAGGGGGTACTCCGTACTCCCCCCAAGTTGGTCCACTCAGAGTAGCACCAGTGGCCACGGAAATGCCCACGTGTAGACTAGCTCAGTGAGTTCATTGCCAGGAAGCACAGACAGAAAAGGCGAGGTGCAGACTTCACAGGGCCCTCAGACTAGTGGGAGAGCATTATAGAACAGTGCAGGAGCTCAGAGGTGCTTGTTCAGTCCAAGCTGCGGGGAGGGCAGAGGGCTGAGGACGGCTCCTTGGAGCGATGCCCTCCATGGCAGTGGAGAAGGGGATCCAGGTACTGATCAAGCCAAGCACGGCAAGTGAGGGACAGCATGGGCTGTGGGGTAGGATTTCCCATTGTTCACAGGGATGGAGGGGGATCTGCCCGAGGACGAGGCTGGCTGCACAGGTCCTGTGCTTCATGCTGGGGGGGGGGGCTGGAGGATTTTACCCAGATTTACAGGTCAGAAACATCATCTGAGGCAGTACTGCACACGTGAAGGAGGGCCAGGCTGGGTCACGCCAAAGGACCTATCTGCCAGCAGCCTGAGCTGCTGAGCTGGAGGGAGGGAGGAGAGTGGACGTTCCCATGGTGATAACAGATGCATGGGATTGGCACGCTGGACAAGGATGCAAGGGGCAGGCTGGGTGGGCCTTGGGGGCTGAATGGGGGTGGGGAGAGGCAGCACCTGAGCCGCGCTTCAGTGTTCAGGTGGAGGGAAGTTCTCTTCTCAGGTCAGCAGTGCAGGAGGGGCCAGGAGGGTAGGAAGAGGAATTAGAATTGTTTCATTCAATTTCAGATGCTTGGTGGCCATCCAGATAAAGATGTTCTTGAGGTTGGGTGAATGGGGGGGTGGGGGCAGGTAGAGACTGGGTGGCATATACCTTTGGCAGTTAACATCATAAAAATGAAACACAAGATGGCGGCTCTGGGCATGCTCAGCCAAGGGGGGGAAGATGGGCAAGAGAACCATCATGGGCAGCACGGTCCACAGAGCGCTGCATGGGAAAGGGGGCTGAGTCGATCCCAACGGGAGCAGCAGCTGAGTGGGCCGAACTGCAACGGGGCACGGAGGCCGGTGGCCGAGTGCACATTTCAGATTTAAGTGAAAACCCATCTCTTCTCCAGTGGGATTTTTGGGGAGCGGCTCCCCCTCCGTTACTACCTTTCAAGTGGAATGCTGCTGAGTGGCCTCTTCACCTCCCTCTTCGGCCTGGGATATTTCTGGAACATCCACATGCTCTGGTACTTTGTGCTCATCCAGGTATGAACTCCATTACTGAGGCCTTGGTCCCCACTGCAGAGAGCACCCTGAGGCCACGGGTCCTTCCTGGGCACCCGTAGGCTCCTAGCGGACTCCCAGGTCCAGAGCCTCGTGTCATTGGCTCACTCCTGCCTTGAGCATTTCAACAAGATTACTTCAGGGCTGGGAAGGTGGCTCAATGGTAGAGTGCTTGCCTTGCATGAGGTCCTGGGTTCGATTCCTCAGCACCACATAAGCAAAAAGAAAAAAGCCAGAAGTGGTGCTGTGGCTCAAGTGGTAGAGCGCTAGCCTTGAGCTGAAGAGCTGAGGGACAGCGCCCAGGCCCAGAGTTCAGGCCCCATGCCGGCCCCCCCCCCCCCCCCAAAAAAAATAGATTACTTCAGTTGTGTGAGAGGCTTGGTCTTGGCTCAAATGATCTTGAACTAGGGGAGAAGCCAGCTCATGACACTGGCATGTGCACGAATGCATGAGAGGGACGGGCAAGGTTTGCAGTGTGGGGTGCAGAGGGCCCCTCGGCTTTGACACTGAACCCCCTCCACCTGGGCTTGCTCCCCCCTCCCCCTTGCTCTCCGCAGATCTGCAACGGACTTGTGCAGACCACGGGCTGGCCCTCCGTGGTGACCTGTGTTGGGAACTGGTTCGGGAAGGGGAAGTGAGTACTGAGGGGAGGGAGAGGTGGGGAGGGAGGGCTGCCGGTCCCCCGCCGCCCTCGGGTGCATGTTCAAGGAAAAGGATGAGAATTGCCTTACTCTTATTTGCACGTGCGGAGATGAAAATATTTCCGTGGTTAAGGAGCATGACTGGTTTTCTCCTGGAGAAGGGCAGCTCATAGAATTGGCAGCCTTACTTATGCTTCGCATAATATAGATGAAGACAGAGAGAGGCCTCTGTAGCTCTTCTTGAACTGGTTTTGTGGGGGGAACAAAAGTTGCCTGTGAAGCAGATTTCTCATGCCTGGCATTGACCTCTGGGGCGCTATTAAATTCTTGTGTAGGGGGTGTCTCACTCCCCATAGGGTATGTATATATCTGGCATCTTATCACTTGACACCAGTGACAAAACCTCCAGATGCTCCCAGATGTTGGCGGGGAGGGAGGGGGCGGTGGGAGTGAATCATCCCCACAGTTGAGATCACATAGTAAAACAGGAGTGGGGCTCTGCACCCTCTGTGGGATCAGTGGGGTGTCCCGGGCCGTGCTGTCTCCTGCTTAACACCAGCCAAGGCCTGGGTCTCAGTCTTCGGCACCACCCGGAGGCCGAGGGCTAGGCTTTGGAGGTTGCAGTTGCCTTTGCTACCTGTTTCCCTCCCTCTCCTGCAGGCGCGGGTTCATCATGGGCATCTGGAACTCACACACGTCTGTGGGCAACATCCTGGGCTCGCTGATCGCTGGCGTCTGGGTGAACCACCAGTGGGGTCTGTCCTTCATCGTGCCGGGCATCATCACGGCCATCATGGGTGTCACCACCTTCCTCTTCCTCATCGAATGTGAGCACATCCCACCCTCCCCACGCCCACACCAGGGAGCCCCACTGGTCTGGTTTGAGGAGACAGCTGGACATGCATGGGGTTGAAAGGCCAGTTATGCAACTCTGAGCCGCAACAGTAGTATCTACAACCCCAGGATTTCAGAAGGTTTAAGGGGCAAATGTAAAATACTTGGTCCAAAGCAGGTGATCTGAGATCTGTGAGCGGGGCCGGCGGGGCTGGAGGGCTGTGCAGAGCACCGCTGTCTTTCCCATTCTCTGAGACCTGTCTATTGGCAAAACCAGGTTCTACCCTAGCCTCACACCAGATGGATGCTAGGGGTCAGGCCTCGCTCCCTGGTGCTGGCAGGTGTCAGGCTGGCTTCCTGCACCAGCTTAGGCCCAGTGTAAAGTAAAAGCCTGGCTCGATGAGGTTCTCAGATGGGTTTTGTCCCCCACAGACCCAGAAGATGTGGACTGCACCCCTCCGCAGCACCATGTAAGTGTCCCATGTATCTGTCCCTGCCTGCCCTCTCCATCATAGGGAATAGACTTGTGGGGAGAGGAGGGGAGGGGAGAGCTGTATTCCTTGGGTTGGCTCACCCATAACCCAATGGGCCTGGAAGGTCAGTTGAGTGCGAGAGGAAGATGTGCGCGTATGTCTCGCTTTTGCCGTCCATCCTCCGGCTGGGGGAGGTGGTGCATGGTTGTGCTCACAGCGAAGGCTCCTCTCCTCTGCTTAGAGCGAACAAGACAAGGACCAGGACAATGCTGAGGATGCTGGGAACAGTCCCTATGGTCACAGAGACAGCAGCACAGAGATATCAGCCAGCTATTCCAAGGAGCCAGGCCCTGAGCCTGCTGCCATCAGCTTCCTGGGAGCCCTTAAGATTCCGGTGAGAAGCCCGTAGATTAGAGGGAAGGGCAGGGCCTTCTAGATTTTTCCACTGGGTATCAGGAGATGGGAGTACTGTGCACGACATCCTGTTTGCACTCTTTCCATGGTCTGTCTGCTGCACTCCCCAGGGTGTAATCGAGTTCTCACTGTGTCTACTCTTTGCCAAGCTGGTCAGCTATACCTTCCTCTACTGGCTGCCCCTGTACATCTTCAATGTGGGTGAGTACATGGAAATAAGCAGCTCTGAGGAGGCCAAGGCCGCTGCTGGAGGGGGAAGGACACCAGGCTGGTGCTGACGGTGATTCCTGGACACCACAGGGGTTCTGTGGAGCTACTCAGTGGATTTATTTAGTTACTTGTGTTAAGTGGGAAACTGAATCCCATGCACTGCCCCTTGCCTTCCTTGGGGCTGAGTTGGGCATTAGGAACCTAAAGCTCTGGTCGGCTGGCCTCCAGCTCTTTCTCTAGCCTGAGTGCATATTGTTTCGTTCAGAGGTAGGTAGAGGTGTTAAGGATCTGCCTTGCGAACTCAGTTCCAGGCTGAGGAAGGGCCTGGAGCGCCCCTGTGCTATGTAGTACTTGGCCTATGTGGAGCCTCGTGGTGACCACTGGTTGGAGGAGCCGGGACATACACAAGATCACTTTTTTTATTTTGGCATGGTGCTTGAACTCTGGGCCTGAGTGCTGTCTCTTAGCTCTTCAGCTCAAGGTGAGTGCTCTACCACTTGAACCACAGCACCACTTCCAGTTTCTGGTGGTTAATTGTAGATAAGAATCTCACAGACTTTCCTGCCCGGGCCGGCTTTGAACCATGATCCTTAGATCTCAGCCTCCTGAGTAGCTAGGATTACAGGCATGAGCCACCAGTACCCAGCAATGAGATCATTTTTGTGGTTGATAAAGGCTGAGGTCCATTGGCCCTGGGTCTCTGCTTTTCCACAGGGAGGGTGAGTCTACTAAGGAGCAGCCTGCTCAGCCTTCCCAACCCCAGTAGCCTCAGAGCCCCACCTCTCACCCACTCCCTCCTAGCCCTGCCTCACACGTGCTTGCTCTGGAAAGGAGTGGGGATTAGTCACAACCCGACCTGTAGCTGCAGCATGTCTGGGGCTGTATGTGACAGGCCCTGTGTGATTGAGTGCTGTAGACACTGTGACCCTTTGTCTTGTGGCTGACTTCAGAGTATGAGTCAACCTTGCAGATGAAGCTACACAGTTAGACTTATAGATGTTCCCTTTTCTAAACTCAGCACTAGAGTCTGACCCAGAGTTTCCAACTTCCTGCTGGTTTCCTCCTGGCTCTGCATCAGCAGAGACCAAAGGCAGCCAGGCAGGCTAGCAGGTCAGGAGCGGAGCAGGAAAAGTGGCTGGAAGGGCGGAGGCTCAGTGGAAGTGATTGTGCTCCAGGGGCAAGATGGCCCCTGGAGGGCAGGAAGGCTTTCTGAAGGTCAGGACCACTCTGCAGGGGCAGTGGGCAGTACATCACAAACTGACACAGACTCACCATGTGGCCTTGACCAATCCCTGTGCCACAGGCCTTCAAGTCGACCCTCTGAGGAGGCTGTGCTGGGACCGATGCCCTGAAGGGCTTCTTCTGGATGTTCACTGAGTGTCTGTGTTTTTCCACAGCTCACTTCAGTGCCAAAGAGGCTGGAGACCTTTCCACGCTGTTTGACGTTGGTGGCATCATAGGTAAGACCTGGTGGGCTGTTTCTCTTCCTTCTGTAGAAAGAAGGAAACTGTTCAGCAGGTTATAACCTCAGCAGTGGCCCCTGAGAAAGAGCTCCTGGTGTACTCTCACTTCTGCACCTGCTTGGTTGGGCCTAAGAAAGATGGCCCTCTTGTTTGGTTCCCTGTAGTGAGGGTTGCAGGAGAGGCTAAAAAGGGGAAGGTCTTCCCAAGGCCAGGCCTATACTGGGCAGCAGGTGAGGGGATGGAGGGGCGATTTTGTCCACGAAGTGTGTGATATATATGTGTTCCAGGCGGCATCATGGCGGGGCTCATTTCTGACTACACCAACGGCAGGGCCACCACTTGCTGCATCATGCTGATCCTGGCCGCCCCCATGGTACGTATGAACTCAGTGCAAAGCGTGCGTGCTCTGAGAGCTGTGTGCCCTTCTCTGTGTTGTGCATGCTGCTGTCTCTATACATGTGCACACACACCCCTGTGTGCACCTCGGTTGAGTAGTGAAAGTCAGCAGAAGGTTAGGCCTAAGAAATCTGGGAAAGGGATTAAGCTTATTTGGCCTTGGAGGAGAAGAGGAAGAGCACAAAAAGGGAAAGAAACTGAGGTTAGATAGGAGAGATTTCTTGGGGATAGGGAAATAACAGATGACCACAGTTTGGACTTCCACCTGCGGTACACTTAAATACCTGAAGGCTGGGTCTGTGAGGCTGGAGGAATAAAGTGACTTGTGAGCTTCCAGATCTGGTGGAGACAGTTTCAGACATGGGGGCTCCGGACCAGCCAGGTTTGGAAAGTGGGCCACGACTTCATCTCTCCTTCCTCCTCTCACAGATGTTCCTGTACAATTACATAGGCCAGAATGGGATTACTAGCTCCATAGGTGAGGATGGGTACCGGTGCTGAGAGGCGGCTGTGGGAGATGAGGGGGCGTGGCCTGGGCTGGGAGGGGCCTTTCCTCTCTAATGGTGCTGTCTCTGCCTTTGCCCAGTGATGCTCATTATCTGTGGGATCCTGGTCAACGGTCCGTATGCACTCATCACTACAGCTGTTTCCGCCGACTTGGTAAGTTGGCCACCCCAGGGTGTCTGGGACAGCTTCATTTCGCTGGATCCCTTTCTCCTCTCCTGTCCTTTAGGGATAAGACCCTCAAAACCCTTGAGGACCCTCTCCCTCTCCCCGACCCCTCGGTGCCACTCTCCATGCATGAGTCTGCCCTCCCCCAGTCCTGGTGCTGCTCAGCTCAGGTGCGCACTCTGCTCTCGCCCACAGGGGACTCACAAGAGCCTCAAGGGCAACGCCAAAGCCCTCTCCACCGTCACAGCCATCATCGACGGCACCGGCTCCATAGGTCTGTGGTTCTCATCTTGGCTGTTGCCAGCTGGAGCCGAGCCTGGTCTTGGGCAGGCCTCTGGGTGCCCAAGGTGAACAGGTCCTCCTCTGATGACGTTGCATTTTCTACAGGTGCGGCGCTGGGGCCTCTGCTGGCTGGGCTCATTTCTCCCACGGGCTGGAACAATGTTTTCTATATGCTCATCTCTGCTGACATCCTGGCTTGCTTGGTAAGAGTTCTTGGGGTATCCATGTAGGTACTGCGGGGGGGCTCTGTCTCTGCAAGCTGGAACCAAATGTTTCAAAGCATCAGGGTTTTTGGAACAGCTGCTCTTTGCTCGGAATGACTGCTTCCCAGGGTTGACCCTTTTCTCCATGCCTTGGGCTCCTGCAGCTCCTCTGCCGGCTGGTGTATAAAGAGATCGTGGCCTGGAAGGCGGCCCTGGGCAGAAGCAGAGGGTGAGTCCACCAGCTCTGCAGGTCCCACCTCTCCCCAACTCACTTCGTTTAGGAAGCCATCCAATGCTCCAGTCTAAGGCTGGTCCAGCCCTGACCCGCAGGGCTGTGGAAGCAACCCTCTCTCCTAATGTGAGCTGTGGACCGCCACCCTCCCCGCCCCAGCCCTGCTAACCTTCCTCTGTTGTCCTCATGTGTCTCCATAGCTCTAGTCTGGCCCTAACCCACCCGTGATATTATTTTCCTCAAGTCCCATGACCTTTGTGAGTATTGTCGTGAAGTCTGTGGGCTGCATGCAAATCTCCTCCTCCATGGTGTGATTTTGTTTTCCAACTTTCTCTGTTTTCTCGGGAGCCAGGTCTTGGAGACTCGACTTGGGCAGAGCATAGTGCTTGGGAAGTGCTTCCCAAGGGGTTGGAGGTGGCAGCCTCTTTCCTGAGGGACAGCAGAATGGCTTTGGCCATGCCTGTGGGGCAGAGGAGGCAGACCAAGGGAACCATTTTCCCTCTGAACTCAGGCTGAGCTGCAAATGCCTCCTGAAGGTCAGAAACCAAGGCCTTCTGGCTCCTCTGCCCTTTCGTGTTGGGCGGCGGGCGGGGGGTGGGGGTGGGGGGAATCAGCCAGCAATTAGAGCTTCTGAAAAAATCTGAATCAAGGTGGCTAGCCTGGTGTGCTGTCTGCCTGGTGTTTGGCGGTGGTGGCTATGGAGGTGGTAAGAGGTTTAGGAGCTGAGGCTGTCTGCTGGGGCCAGGGCTGGGCAACTCCCTGGACCCTTTCCAGCTCTCCTCCTGAGCAGGAGCCTACTGTTAATGAGGAACTGGCTGGAGCCTGGACCTGAGCTGGATGGCAAATGTGAGGAAGAACCTTCTGGGTTCACAGAAACACTTCCATTTTAGGAAAAGTGTCACAAAGAGGGGGAAAAAGAAGCATTTGCAGTATCTCACCTCCCTTACCCTACTATGGAGTTGGGGGTGAGGGGTTGATGGCAGGATTTAGCTACTTCTGTCTGGATTCTCCCAGCCAGGCCTGAGAGGAGACTGACAGAGGAAGAAAATACAGGGACAACAAGTACTTAGTGAGCGCACCTTTCTTTTGGTCACCCTGAGAGGCAGGCACTCATGTAGAGAGGCTGTGGGGCACCTGTGGGGCTGTTGCTTTTCCGGGCACTGCTGCCATCCCAAGCTGGTCCTGCGTGAAAAGCCTGTGGAAGGTGTGAACAGACTTAGTAGAGTAGAGCTGTCACCGGGCTGGGCATTGGGAATGGGATCCCTGGACAATCCTGGCCTCTCTACTCACTCAGTCCTAAGACCTGGGCACACCCTAGAGTCTCGTGCTCACGCATAGACGGGCTGTGTCACAGCACCCTCTGAAGCTAAGGTGAGCTGGGACATGGATGCTGCTTTGTAAAGCTGTGAAACACGGCGGAAACATGGAGTTCTTCATGTTAATCTGCCTTGCTGGTCCCTGTCCAGGAGGTAAAGGAAGCCCTAATTATAGAGAGCTGAAAGACAGGAGCTGTTGTCTAACATTTGCTCTCTCCTTTTCATGTAGGTATAAAGAAATATGAGGACTTGATTGGAAGAGAAGCATGGAGGGTCCCCACTGGGTCCCCAAAGTGCTTTCCAAGGGCAAGGTAATGGAAACTTCCACTGACAGCTGAGACAAAGCCTTCTGATCCAACACCAACCAGCCCAGCCCAGCCCAACTCACGAGCTGTTCAGGGTACAGAAGATTCTCCATGGGAAAAGACCAGGCACGAAGAACTGCAAGACTGAGGGCCTGCAGTCTGGGAGCTGCCAGCAGAAGGGATGGGGATAAGGGCAGAAACTCACACTCCTGCTTGTTCAGACTCTAAGAAGGATCGAGGCTTGGCAAGGGTACATCTTTCTTTCCCTTGTTGAGTTTTTCACTTCTGCAATCAGTTATACTACCAGGGGATATTTTACTTGTCTCTAAGGTACCTGGCCTCAGTTTTCTCTGTGTTTCCCAAGTTGGACACTCCTCTACCTTCCCATTTGCTCGTTACTAAAACTCCCTTAGCCACTTTGAAACAGGATTGCTGCTCTTTTAGGCCAAGACTAGGGTGGGGCAAAGGAGCTGCATCAGGCACAGAATGTGAGGTGCACTCTCTTGGGCTCGTGTGAGTGCTCCCTGACTGGAGTCCTCCTCGCCTCACCCTGGTCCTTAGCCACCTGATGTTTCAGTGGGCCATGACACCAAGTCAGTGCTGGACGGACTGGGCTGGGTGGGGGAGGGTGGCTGAAAACATCAGTGTATGTGTACCAACGATGACTGGGTTCCTACTGCATGCCAGCTCTACTGTAGGAATGGACAATGGACAGAATACAGAAGGACTTACACCCTGAGCACAGGTGCCAAGGTGATGAGACCAGCAGCAATCAGAGTGCTTCCTGGTTCTCTGGCGTAGCTGCTGAGATGCAGTTGCTCAGAGCCCTCTGCAGCCTGCCCCGCACGCAGGGCTCTGGTGGTGTGTACTCCTCTACCCCAAGTCCCGTTATGACACACTAGACTCCTGGCATTTCTGCCTGACCTCCAGAGCTGCCCATCAGCACCAATACAGATTTTACTTGCCAATTGTGCCTGTGCTCATCTTTGGTAGGGCCTGGTATGGGGTTTGGAAGCCCAGGTTGCACGGTTGGTGTGCTGGGGCCCGTGACAAGTGGCATCCCAAAGGCCATGATCATGGCATCGGTGACATGGGGAGTACAACCTACATCTAAAATGTCACCACTGCATTTACTGCAGTGGAACAGCTAAGGACGACGCCCCACGGCTCTGCAAGCAGCAGTCTGTCAGCGACCTCTGTGTCTTCAGAGGCCTTAGGAGCAGCAGCTATGTTACACAGTACGATGCTCAGCATTCACCAATCTCACTTAAGACCAGATAGATTTATGTGACATCATTACTTAAGGGGAAGCAGCACTGCTTCTCTTAGCCACTAGGTGGCAACACAAGCCCGTGGTACACCACCATGTGGGCCTGCAGTGTTGTCTTGCTTCTAGAAAGGGAGACAGGAATCTAAGTTCCCATACTCACTGTCTTCTCTGCTGCTGCTGCAAATGGATAGAGATCCTTGCCTTCATTCCCAGTTTCATTCTTGAGAACCTTACACCAGTTTCTTCAAGTTGAACACGGCACATTTCCTGCCTCAGAATTGGAGAGGACAAAAATAAGTATTAAACATACTCCCTGTCCTTGTCTCCTTGAGTGATATGATATAGGGAATATAAAAATACAAGAAAAACTATACAAGAAAAAAAATCCATGGAGATAAGAGACTTCTTTAGCCACAAAGGGAAAAGGAAGAAGCAATGTGAGCAGATTATGAAGGAAGAACTCACAGAAGCGGAGTGAGGCAGAAAGTTAACACAACCACTCAAGCCCTCCCAAGTCAGGAGCATTAGGGACTATCACGTGTTCTATTATCAGTAGGTAAGTGTGGCATTACATGCAAAAGATGTATGGGAGTTCAGAGCCTGGTTTGGGCTATGGGTGGGGGATTTGAGAAAACGCCAAAGGCTGAAGGGTGATCTGCCCCTCTGCAGCGCCTTCCAGTGCCAGGTTCCAGACCCTGTACAGCTCTGGGCACTGACTGCTCACTGGAGACCTGGTACCTGCCTTCTCTCTGGGCCTCTGCACTCACACGGGGCTAATGCAGGAGCATTACGTTAATTAGTTATTCATTTAATTTAACTTCACATTTGGTCTCAATTAAGCTTAAAATGTTCTTCCTTATAGATGCTACAATAGCACTTGTAATTAAAAAGCAATAACTCTTTGCGTTTCTTCTTTAGAGATCCATTGGGAGGTTGGGCTAGTGTGGGAGGAGGAAGGAAAAAAAAAAGGAAAGGAAAAGAAAGCTTAGCACTATGAGGAAGGAACTCAACTCATGGAGGTTCAGGGTAGGGATGGGGACAGTTGCTGCCTGGAGCTCTGAGAGGTGGACAGACCTTGTTCTTCACAAAGCTGTGGGAGCAAGGAGAGGGTGGATGAAGGGTAGAAGGAGGCTATTCATTCCATAACAGGAACAATGCCTTCCCAAAGATCTCCACATCCTAATCCCCCAAACAGTAAAAGGTTACAGTACAATGAAATACAGCTTTGGAGATGTGATTAAAGAACCCAAGATGGAGAGGCGATCCTGGCTTGTCAGGTGGGCCTGATAGCTAATCACAGGCTCCTTAGAAATCAGTGAGGCGCTAGCCAGCACTGGTGGCTCACACTTGTAATCCTAGCTACTCAAGAGGCTGAGATCTGAAGATTACAGATTGAAGCCAGATTAGGCAGGAAAGTCTGTGAGACTCTTATCTCCAATGAACCACCAGAAAAACAGAAATGGTGCTATGGCTCAAAGTGGTAGAACTTCAGCAAAAAGAGCTCAGAGACGGTGCCCAGGCCCTGAGTTCAAGCCCTATTACTGACAAAAAAAAAAACAAAAACGAAATCAGTGAGGCAGGAGGGGTAGAGTTTGGAAGTTAGTGTTATCCCAATACCTTTGAAAATACAGAAAGAGTCAGAGTCCACCTACCAGAGAATATGGGTGACTTCTAGAAGCTGGAAAAGCAAGCGTTCTACCACTTGACCCATGACTACAGCCCCCTCATACTCCTTCCCATTTTTTGACCTCCAGAACTGTAAGGTTTGTATTGTTCTAAATGACTTTATATTTGTGGTAATCTCTTACAGCAGCAATAGGAAATATACAAACTCAATGTAAAAGTGGTACTTGATCAATTAAAAGACATAGAGCAGCACTGGAAAGTATACACAATCCCTTAAACTTACAACAAGTAGGGGATGTCCATGTGGCACCTAGGTACAGCTTCCTTTACGTGCTTCTTGAAAACTGTATCAGCTAGGGGTTGCACCATCCAGTATGTCTATGCCAGGGAAAAGCCTCAGCTCACCAGAGCAGAGCCCTGCCCCAACTCCAGGGTTGATCAGTAAAGTTGTCATAGGAACCTTTTAACTGCTTTGCTCAAGACCTGTACCCGATTCCTAAGATTCTGGGTGATTAATAAAAAGTAGCTGATTCTCCAAGTGAACAACCTGGTTCCCCCATCTCCATTTTTCCTTATGGAACAGCACAGTGAAATATAAAGGAGTTAAGAGCTTAAACACTGAACTAAACTGCCTGACTTCAAATCCTGACCCCCGCCTGCCCCTTACTGAGTGATCTCAAGCCAACCACCTTGGCAGGCTGTGCCTGTTCCGGTCTGTGAAATGGGGACATCAAGATAATCTACTTCATAGGCCTCTGTATGATAACCTGAGTCAATACTTACATTAAAAAAATGAAAAAATGGCACGTTCATTAAATATAATACAAATAGTGATTTAAGCAATGTGAAGTGCATTTATTTCCGAGTTTTGTGGGTGGATCTAGAGATTAAAAGTTGAACTCTATGAACCATAAGCTCCTTTCCAAGCCTGAGTCTTTCTGCCCCCTTGAGGATAATCAGCACTTCTCCAGATTTGTTTCTATAGTTCTGAGTCCACATCTGGAAATTTGTTTCTGCATAACAACAGCCAAATACTTGTAAGCCAAGGAGTTGAAACAAAATCTTTTGTTATTTGTCCTAGAATGTTAATTAGAGTTCTTCTCATGTTAATTAGAACTTTTACCTTTTTGGATGCGAGTTAGGGAATCAGAGGGTACAAATAGTTTAAATACATTGATCTCTACTATAAAAAACAGGAGTGGTCTGAAAGCCAACATGATCTTTAAAGAAATGAGATGTGCAGAATCCATTGAGGGACTGGGTTAGGTGTTCTGAAGAACAGAGCAAGAAATGGTAGTATCAGAATAAAAAAAATTAAAGGCAACTGGTATGCCTTCATCCAAAGATGGAGTTGGGAAGACAACATGGACCTTTCAGCCAGTGTTTTAACTGGCTCACGCCACAGCAGGTACACAATCAATGTTAAATGAACAGCTATGTGCAATTCTTCTAGTTCATGTATACACATGTAAAAACCTGCATAAAAAAAGGCTAGTTTTAGTTCTTTTTACTTGACTGATGGACACTAGGGTTTGAACTCAGGGTCTTGTGCTTGTTAGGCAAGTGCTCTACCATTTGAGCTACATCCTCCTTACTGATATGAGAAGTTTAAAAAACTTATATACATATCTAAAAAATTACCCAGTGTGCCGGGCATTGGTGGCTCACGCCTGTAATCCTACTTACTCAGGAAATTGAGATTTGAAGATCACAGTTCAAAGCCAGCCTGGGCAGGAAAGTCCATGAGACTCTTATCTCCAATAAACCACTAGAAAACCAGAAGTGGCGCTGTGGCTCAAGCGTAGAGCACTCGCCTTGAACTGAAGAGTGCTGGGACAGTTCCCGACCCCAGAGGTCAAGCCCCAACAACCACCACCACCAACAACAAAAATTATCCAGTGTGTGTGAGCTGGGCACAGGTGGCTCACTCCTGTAATCCTAGACTGGGGAGGCTGAGACTTGGATGGAGGATCCCACTTTGAAGCTAGCCCAAGCAGGAAAGTCTGCAAGAGTCCATCTTTAGTTAACCAGCAAAAACATCAGACTGGAGGTATGGCTCAATTTGTACAGCACTAGTCAAGAAAGCAAGCTGAGGGAGTGGGAGGCACTGAGTTCAAACCTGGGTCCTGGAAGAAAAAAAAATACACCATTGCCCAGTGTGTCTTGTTGAGAAAGTTCTAAAACACAGCACCACCTCCTGGATCAGACAAATGATTTTCCCTGGGTTAGGATGAGGTCCTGATAATTTAGTTTGTCTAGACATAGAAGGTTATGAAATAAACTGGGCACCAGTGGCTCACACCTGTAATCCCAGCTACTCAGGAGGCTGAGATCTGAGGATCATGGTTCAAAGCCAGCCCAGGCAGGAAAGTCTGTGAGACTCTGATCTCCAATAAGCCACTAGAAAACTGGAAGTGGTGCTGTGGCTCAAATGGTAGAGCACTCTCCTTGAGCTGAAGAGTTCAGAGACAGCGCCCAGGGCCCAGAGTTCAAGCCCCATGACCGACAAAAAAAAAAAAAAGTTATGAAATAGCCCAATTTTTCATATAAAAGCCTGATTTTGCTGTCTCTCCTCAACTTCAAAAGTCTCTGGACAATAAGTCTCCTGATAGGAACAGAGTGGTACCATCTACCCTAAGAAACTCACTGGAGAAGAGCTAAATGGAACACTAAGATGATTTCTGCTAGTATTAGAGGGCCAACCTCTGAGCCATCTCCAAGAAAGCCTGAGAGTAAGGAATGCCCTATCACACAGCCTACCCACTTCCAGCAGCGGCTCTGCATGCTCCCTTTCCTCCAATCTGTTTGGAAGGAATTTTTCTTCTTTTTTATTTTTTTACCCTAGGACTGTAGGCCAGACTTAAGAAATTATTTCCTTTGAACCTTTCTAAAGAAGGCCTTAGCTGCAAAGCTTTTCCTAACTGAGGAAGAAATGAAGGGGGCAGTTTCAGAGGGGGAACAACCTCTCTTGGTACTCACCAGAGACCAGTGACTTTCCAATAGTCATTTAGACCTGAGACCCCCTGAGGAGGCAGGAGAGGGTTCTTCTCCAGCATCCAGGACAGAAAGTAGAGAAATGACTCTGACCCCCTGCACGTTTTCAAGTTCCAGAACTCAGTGGTTTTCTTCCAGTTTGAGACAGGCCCCGGCATCTGTGACACTTAGATTTGCCAGCTGTGTGAATCTCGGGTAAGTCAGTGAACCTCCTTAAGTCTCCATTTGTTTCTACTTTAAAGTCGGGCTGATAATGACTATTATAAAAATTAAGCAAACTTCAAGGAAATTAGCATGCTACTGGCATACAGAACAAATTTAATCGCTCTTCCCAATTTGTTCTCATGGTTCTTAACTAAGCTAGACTCCTTAGCTTACAGCTTTAGGTGCTCAGGAGGACATCTCCAAAGCAGAGGTCAGAGCAGCACCCCCTAGTGACAAATCTTGCTTGGTCTGGGAGGTGAGTCAGGGGTTAAGTTATAGTTTCCTGTTGAATGTACATGCCTTACTGGGCTTGGAGAAGGGCTACTAAAGGTGGGAAGAAAAAGCTCACCTTGGTGACACAGGGCTGTAATCCCAACATTCAGGAGGCTAAGGCAGAAGAATGAAGGGTTTTGTGGCCGGCCTGAGCAACACAGTGAAAATGTCACAAAACTAAACCAAAAATGCAATAAAACACCAACAAAAATGGATCAAACCTAAAATGGATTTTTTTTTGGGTCCAGTCGTGGGGCCTGAACTCTGGGCCTGGGCGCTGTCCCTCAGCTCTTCAGCTCAAGGCTAGTGCTCTAGCCTTGAGTCACAGCGCCATTTCCGGCTTTTTTCTTTTTGCTTATGTGGTGCTGAGGAATCGAACCCAGGGTCTCAGGCATGCAAGGCAAGCACTCTACCACTGAGCCACCTTCCCAGCCCCCTAAAAGGGATTTTTATGGTAATTAAATGAGGTACACAGAGATCATTAGATCTTGGAAGAAAAATAATCCAGAGATCTATGGCGAAAGACAATCAACATTCTATATCTTTTTTCTAATCACCAAGCAAACTTGAAAAAAATACAAGCTTCCAGAAAGCTGTGCCTAAGAGTTTAAAGTCCAAGTCAGACCACTGGTGGTTGTTTACTGATTTTATAGTGTTTTGTGGAACTATATGCATATAGTGATCAATAACCAACATCTAAACATGTCTTCCAAATTAAAACATCCTTCTTGACTTAAGTGTATTTCCTTTTCAGATGATTGCAATCTTAGAATGAAGAATTCTACAAACTACCAAAAAGGATCAGGATCTTTTATTGACCAACAGAAGAAAATTTTTTTTTTCCAAAATCTACTACTAACAATTTGATTGAAAGTGTACTCTAAGCAGATCATCGTAACTATTTCCCTTTCAAAACAGATAGAAACCCTGAAGTACATGGTCTAAGAAGTCAGCTGAGATTCCATGGCCTCGGGGTCACTTTTGCAGTTTGTTTCTGGAAGTGTCTTAGTGGTAAGTGGATATTCCTCTGGTCAGAAGATGTGAAAACTGCCCCTTTTTCCTCAGGATGACATCAAAAAGAAGGACAGGAGAAGAGTCTTGGTTTCCTCAGAAATGATCATCAGGACCGCAGTGGTTTGGCATAGATTGGCTCCAGCACATGGTGGGTTAGAACCAAGGAGAGGCCTCCAAGAAAGATGACACTGAGCAGAGTAAGCAGCACATAGCGGCCGATGAAAAAGGTATCCACAATCTAGAGGAAGAAAGCAAGCCTCAAATGAAATCACAGCCACTCCAGCAACCTGCCTGTGCTAATCTGAAATCTATGATGAGCACACCTAATCTGTGATGATAAAATATATTTGATCATATGTGTATCTTTCCGTAGCATCTTGCCTTGGGTACCCTTTGTGTATATATATATATATGAGTAAAAGAGTCTTTTTCTAAATCCCCAAGTTGGAGACAGAAGGTTAAAAAAAAAAAGGATGAATAAGGTACAGGAACAAATGGCTCAATTTAGAAGATACATAAATGTTTTGGAGGACTTTCTGTTCTGAAATCAGTTATCTGAAAGAGTTAGAAGAAACTAGGCTTTATCCTAGAATGAATTATTTGTGTTAGCATTTTCATCATTGCCAGTTGTTCCTAGCTACTCAGTAGGCTGAGATCTGAGGAGCACAGCTGGAAGTCAGGAAAGACTTTTTATCTCCAATTAACTACCAAAAGAAGCTGGCAATGGAGCTATGGTTCAAGTAGTAGAGTGCTAGCCTTGAGCACAAAAGCTCAGGGTCGGTGCCTAGGATCTGAGTCCAAGCTCCAGGATAGGCACCAAAAAGACCCCCAAACAACAATTTTCATTATAGAGGATTTTAATGACACTAAAATATAACAGGTTGCAAGCTGGGTCCCAGTGGTTCACGAACTACTTAGAAGGCTGAGATTGATCATGGTTTAAAGCCAGCTGGATGGGAAAGTAAGACTTTTATCCCCAATTAACCTCCAAAAAGCCTGAAATGGAGCTGTGGTACAGCACCAGCTTTGAGTGAAAAAGATAAGGGACAGTGCCCAGGCTCTGATTTCAAGACCTAATACCAACGTGCAAATGTGCATGCACATGCACACACACACGCACACACACACACATACATGCACACACGCACACACACACATTTTTTTTTTCCTGGCCAGTCATGGGGCTTGAACTCAGAGCCTGGGCACTGTCCCTAAGCTTCTTTTCCTCAAGACTAGCACTCTACTACTTGAGCCACAGTGTCACTCCTGGCTTCTTCTGTTTATGTGGTACTAAGGAATCGAACCCAGGGCTTCATGAATGCTAGGCAAGCACTCTACCACTGAGTCACCTTCCCAACCCCTGCACCCCCCTACCCCAACACATTTCTATGTATCTAAGACCAAACCTTAAAAATCATCAAGCCAGGCTGGGCACCAGTGGCTCACGCCTGTAATCCTAACTACTCAGGAGTCTGAGATCTGAGAGTCATGGTTCAAAGCCAGCCCAGGCGGGAAAGGGCATGAGACTCTTCAATAAACCACCAGAAAACCAGAAGTGGCGCTGTGGCTCAAGTGGCAGAGCACTGGCCTTGAGTTGAAGAGCTGAGTTCAAGCCCCAGAGTTCAAGCCCTGTGACCAACCAAAAAAAAAACAAGAATCATCAAGCCACTACCATTCAGAAAGGTTCATTTTCAAAACAAGAATGTGTTTCTTCAAAGCTTTCATCGAAAGAGTTCTGAACCCTAATGTTCGTTACCCAGCATACGAAGGGAGAGGGAAAATGGAAACTTGCCCGAGATACTACAATGTGAATAGCACAAGTAGCTTGTCCCAAATCATGTAGCTGACTGCCTGGTAACCAGTCAAAACTGATACCATAGTTCTGTTAGTCTTCACTGACAGAAAGCTGTAACTGGTGTTAAGTGGGTTCTTCCCATTTGTAGGCTGTTTACTGCCAGAAATCTATTCCTCACAGAGCCTAATAGTGGTACTCAACATTGGGCAGGTAAAAACAATTTAATATATAGACCTAATGGAGCAGCAAAAAAACCTCGAGTAACTTCACAGAAGCCTTGAAAACCCACATATGTAAGAGAGAATCCAAAATACTTAACTAACTCTGATAGAATAATGGCCCACAGATGTCCACAACTTAATCCCTAGAAAGTATGTTAAATCACATGGCAAAGGAGACTTAAGGTTGCTAATCAGCTGACTTTACATAGGGACATTAGCCTGGATTACCCAGTGTAATCACAAAAGTGCTCTTTAAGAGAGGCAGAAAAGAGGGTCAGTATCCAAGAGATGTTAGGTGCCGACTTTGACGATGAAGGAGGGAGGCTGCAGGCCAAGGACCGAGGGCATCCTGGACAGCTGGAGAAGGTGAGGAAATGGGTCTCCTCTAGAGCCACCAGCAAGGAATGCAGCCATGCCGACCCCTGGGATTTAGGCCAGTGAGATCGATGAGGGACTTTATAACTTACAGAACTATAAGGTAGTAAGTTTGTGTGGGAGCCACTACATTTGCAGTCATGCATTATAGCAGCATTAGAAAAATACAGTGTCGATACAAAAAGTATCTGTCAAATCCAGGGACTCAAATGATCGGTGAAATCCAAAGACGCCAAAAAGGAGGCAGCTGCAGACACCCCATCTGCTCCAGAGATTACCCCAACAGTCAACTTACAATAAAGGTCAGTTTGATAAAACAACTTTAACATAACTTTGACCTTGGCTCTGGTACTGAACAAGTCTCTAGTGGGCTACATGTTTGCTCGTTCGACTGTTTCACTTTTTAATTAGCCAATTAGCAGGCCTTGGGTGCAGAAAGCCCAGCCCATGTATTATTGATACAGTATTGAGCCAGACTGCTGCAGGGGCCAGCTCTCAAATCCTGAAAATGAGAACTCCAATTCTGCTGGCCATGCTGACAAACAGATTTTGCTTAAACACCATTCTCTCCTGAGTCTGAAACTCCTATGACAGAAACGGACTGATGGTGAAACAGGGCTTTTGCTCCATGCCTTCTTCCAGGAGTCACACCTGCAGTAATCTAGAAATCTCCAGCCTCCATCATTCTTGCCCCTTCAAAGAGTATCAGGGTGGGCACTCACCCTTAACTCTATACATGGGACCCATACGTTCACAGTGGGTGTCAAATGTGAACAAAAAAGCAGGCACCTATGGAAGTGATTTCATGAATTTGTAAGGTAAGTCTAGGTTTCCTTCAAGTTTTCTGAATTAATTTCCTTCCTTTTGCCATGGTTAGTTCTAGGTAGAGTGGGAAGTGTGTGTCCATTTTAGTTCAAAAGGTCTTAAATTTGTGGGCTGTTATCTATCAAATAATCTATCTACCAAATGAATAAAGCAAAAGTTCTGTAGACTCACCCTGATACTCAGTTGAGGCACCAGCAATGTGGATTTTAAAGACAGATCTCAGGTCAAGTCCTTGCTGTATCTCTTCCTGTGTATGATCTTGAGCAAATTAGCTTAATCTCTTACAGCTTCCGTATCCTCACATATAAAAATGGGTTCATACACTACTTAGAGCTGTCCTGAAGTTTAAATGAGGTAATGCACACATGTCTAGCACATGACCTGGCACAGCAGTAATCTTTTATCATCACTATATAACTTTATCAACCCTTTATTATCACTACCACTTAAAAATCAAAGTAGACACAGAAGTGGAAGACACAGGGTGAACAAACAGCAGTGGTACTCACCAGACACTATGTTGAAAATGAACTATACAGCTTATGGGTGGGGACAGGAGGGAAAAACTGGGAGAGAGCGACAAAAGAAGTGACACTGACCAAAAAGGAATGTACTCTACCTAACTTACATAACTGTAACCCTTCTGCGCACCACAACAGCAATTAAAAAGTGGGGGGAAAAAAGTGGAGGTTGAAAGGGAGAAGGCTACTAGACGGAATAATGGCCAAAGGCAAATGATCAAAATCCTATGGTTGTGACAGCAATCATGGTAAGGCATGAGTGGCATCTCCAGAGAAGGACACGATGACAAAGAGCTACTTTTTTTTTTTTTTTTTTGTCGGTCGTGGGACTTGAACTCTGGGCCTGGGCGCTGTCCCTCAGTTCTTCAGCTCAAGGCTAGCACCCTACCACTTGAGCCACAGTGCCACTTCTGGCTTTTTTCTGCTTATGTGGTGCTGAGGAATCGAACCCAGGGCCTCATGCATGCAAGGCAAGCGCTCTACCACTGAGCCACCTTCCCAGCCCCAGAGATCTCTTTTCAAGCTGGGCATTGATGACTCATAATTGTAATCCTAGCTACTCTGGAGACAGATCTGAGGATAGAGGTTTGAAACCAGTCCACACAGACAAATCTGAGAGATGATCTCCAACTAAACAGTAAAAAAGCAGGAAGAAGAGATACAGCTCAAGTAGTAAAGTGCCAACCCTGAGCAAAAAATGCCTTGAGTACAAGGCCCTGAAAATTCCAGCTATAGTACCAACATGTGCATGCACACACGTGTGTGTACACGCATGGGCGCGCGCGCACACACACACAAAATCTAGTTTCAGAGGTGTCAGCTGGCAGATGTGGTCCCAGGAATGAGGACCAGAGGAATCATTACTAGTGAGTTCAACTGCATCTTTACCTTCTGCTTCTCATAGTAATGCTGCTCGCTCCCCACTGCTCTTCTCTGTGGAGATACTTCTCTCCACATCACAAGTAGAAAAAGTCTACCACAGGGAGAAAGCCACATGGCTCAGTACCTGAGAGCACATAAATTTTGGCCTCTAATCTGAGGTTTTGAGCTGAGGCTACCAGGATAGGAATGCAGGCCTGTGCCTATCCATTCCTCACTGAGTTTCCCTTGCTTGGTCCTCATAATAAGAGGTAGTCTTTCAACACTGTCATGAAGTTTAAGTTGAAGACAAGACCAACTCAGACTGTGTATTGCAAGTGGGGCCAGAAGATCTTGGGGATTTAAAATTCCCTCTGAAAGCGGGAGAAAATGAGGAAGGAGGGGTAATTGTTCAATAAGATATGCACATACCATACATATGTAGCCATAATCCCCCTGTTTATCACCTGTACAATAAATAATAAAAATAAAAAAATAAGCTGGGTGCCAGTGGCTCACACCTGTAATCCTAGTTACTCAGGAGGCTCAGATCTGAAGATAGCAGTTCAAAGCCAGCCCGGGCAGCGAAGTCTCCAAACCACCAGAAAACCAGAAGTGGCTCTGTGGCTCAAAGTGGCAGAGCACTAGCCTTGAGCTGAAGAGCTCAGGGACAGCGCCCAAGCCCAGATTTCAAGCCCCATTACCAACAATAAAATAAAATATAAAATTATCTCTGAGCTCCCCTACACATGTTTCAACAGTGCTGTGCTAACGTATCAGGTGGCAGAGAAGGATGAAGGTTTGTATTAGGAGGCAAATGAAACCAATAGTTTTACCTTCATTTCAACTTCTGGGGCTGGGAGTTCAGTGGCTCGGGGGAAAAGCAATAGAACTGATGTGATGACCAGAGCACCAAGGAAGACAAAAATGATGGAGAACCTGGGGCAATGAGACAAAGTATTAAAAACTCAGCTTACAATTTCTCCCAACTAGTTGGGCCTGGCCTGGCTCTTCCCTGGGGGTCAACATTCTATGTTTCAGTCCCCTGACAATGTCCAGACACCTGTTATACACAAGGCCTTTCTTCCTAGAGATACCGTCTTGGGCGTGTTCCTGTTACTCCAAACTCCTAATAATGAGAACTCAGAGTTTTCATCTGTGCTTCTGCCTAAAGTCATGTTCAAGGAAAAAACAACAACAGCAACAAAATCAAGGCAACTCTATTCATATCCACTTTGGCTGCTTTTTGGTCAGAAAAAATTAGCAAATTTGTAACTCTCCGCTCTTTACTGACAAGTCCTCTTCATAGTACAACTGTGGAGTGTTTGGGGGTCTGTTTATGACCTTAAAGTCAAGTGCCTGGTATGGAGGGACAGTTCAACTCACCAAATGCTTCTTAACTTTGCCTGGGCCTACGCCTAGAGCCCTAAGAGACCGGACCAAGCAACATGGCATAAATCACAACAATTAAGAAAAACTCCCATGTGCATCCCCCTGAGAAATTCAATAGGCAGCGAAAGCAGATTTTCTTGTCATCTCTTGTCTCTCCGCCATCTCCTCCACAGTAAGAGCTGAAAAATATACTTCCCTTCTCCTCCCACCTCTGCCTCACAGCATAAATAACACAGTTAGTGCTTATGATAAGAGGTTAAAATGCAACTCGTTCAAACTGCCAGTAATTACAAAAATGATCTTCTGAATTCTAAATGTTTAATGAGCATCAGCGATTTTGCCTCTAATTGCTTTTACCTAGGACTCCCAACTGGAAAGAATGCCTTACCTAGCTATCCCGGAGGCTCTGGATAACAGCGCACACAGCAGCAGCACCAGCACCCAGAGCAAGGCTAGGATGAACACGCCGGCACCCACTCCCAGCACTGTGCCAGCCATCGGGGATGGGAGGGAGGGGTGGCACCAGCCCACGCCGTGGCTGGGCCTGACTGCACCTGCTCCTGGTGTTCTGACAAACACAGAAAGCCTGAACTCAATATGGGATGTGATGACTGGATGTCGCTACAAGTCTCCAGGTCTTCCGTTTTCTGGAGGTTGAGTCCCTGAGTAGAAGTTAGAGATGTAGAACCCAAAGCCTTTCTTTGACTGAGATTGCTCCCAGCTCTGCACACATCTTCCAAGTTTGCACTCTGAGCTGGAGTTTCTTCCCCCAACCCGTGAAAGAAGGCTGAACCTCATTACAAAACCCTGGCCAGGACCATTAGAAGGTACCAGGGCCTGGGAGCTCCAAGGCCAAATAGAAGTTGAAGCTTTGGTGAAATCCATGGTATAAACTTTGACTCACCAGGCAGAAATCTCCACTCTGCTGTCCAGTTCTTAGTCACAAAAGGGAGGAAACTTCCGGCCCTTAAGAGAAGAGGAGCCGTCAATAGTTGTGAACATTTACTATGTGCTAAGTACTTCACAGACCTATCTCATTTGATCATGGTTTTAGACTATGATTAACAGAGGAGGTATGTGCTATATAACTTCAAAGGAGTGTGGCTTAATCTTCTATCTCATGACTTTTCTTCTCTTTATCTCATGAAATTCTCTTCTCTCTCTCTCTCTCTCTCTCTGTGTGTACAAGATGGGGCTTGGATTCAGGGCTTGGGCTCTGTCTCTTAAATTTTCCACTCAAGGATGGCACTCTACCACTTGAGCCACAGCACCGCTTCTGACTTTTTGGTGGTTCATTGGAGAAAAAGAGACTCAAGACTTTGCTGCCTGGGATGGCTTTGAACTGTGACCCTCATATCTCACCCCTTGAGGAGCTAGGATTACAGGCGTGAGCCACCAGTACCTGGGGTTTCTCACTGTTCTTTCTTTCTTTCTTTATTTGGTCAGTCATGGGGCTTGAACTCTGGGCCTGGGTGCTGTCCCTCAGCTCTTCAGCTCAAGCCTAGTGCTTTACCACTTGAGCCACAGCATCACTTCTGGTTTTCTGGTGGTTTATTGGCAATCAGAGTCGCACAGACTTTCCTGCCCAGGCTGGCTTTGAACCGCAATCCTCAGATCTCAGCCTCCTGAGTAGCTAGGCTTACAGGTGTGAGCCACCAGCACTTAGCTTCTCACTGTTCTTGAGACCACAATTTGACAAGAAAAGTATTGTTAGAACTGGGCACTCCTGGAAAGGGGTCAGTGCCACAAGTGCATGCTAGGCTGAGTTAGGGGTGGCCTGGCTCCTGCCAGTTTCCTTTTCCTTTTCTTTTTGATTGTCATGGGGTTTGAACTTGGGCCTGGGCACTGTCCCTGAGCTTTGAGCCACAGCTCTACTTCTGGTTTTCTGGTGGTTAATTGGAGCTAAGAGTCTCAGGGACTTTCCTGCCCAGGCTGACTTTGAATCATGATCCTCAGATCTCAGCCTCTTGAGTAGCTAGGATTACAGACATGAGCCATTAGCGCCCACCTTCCCAGCCGTTTCTATAGCCTCATTGGGGGAGCACTCTCCCCTTGTTAAAGCCTCATGGGCTCGTCTCAGTATCTTTACATGTCAGGCATTTTCCCTCTGTGTATTAGTATGTTGTGTCTTCTGCCTAAATTCAAGCCTTAATCCCCAGCCACCTGCACGAGCAATCTCTCATCATGTTTCCAATCCTCAGAGAAGAAATTCATTTCCTCACATCTTCTCCCACTGCCCACAGGTAACCTTCAAAAGTTCCTCTCCATCACTCTCTTTCTTCCAGAGCACTCTTCACCAGTGGTAGCTAACTCATTTTGTTTTTCCTTCCCAGTGCTGGGGATTGAATCCAGGGCCTCATGAATGCTATGCAAGTGCTACCACTGAGCTACCTTTTATTCATTCACTTACTAGTTTAGTTTCTGTCCCTTCAACCAACCTCAGGAAAGCAGAAACGTTGGATTTCTCATTCTGGTATTGTTAGTTCTTAGCACAGAGATTATAAACAAGAAGAATAAGCTTGCAAGAATCAAGTGTGGTCACACGAAGGTTTAGAAAGATGACTGTAGTCCTGGGCACAAATGGCTCAAGCCTGTAAGCCTAGCTACACAGGAGGCTGAGGTCTGAGGATCGTGGTTCAAATCCAGCCCAGGCAGGAAAGTCTGAGAGACTCTTATCTCCAATTAACCACCAGAAAACCGGAAATGATGCTGTGGCTCAAGTGGTAGAGTACTAATCCTGAGCTGAAGAGCTCCAGGACAGCGTCCAGGCCCAGAGTTCAAGCCCCATGACCAACCAAAAAAAAAAAAAAAAAGGGAGAAAGATGATTGTAACTTCTGGTCAATTTGCTGGGCAATGAAAGTCTTTATACAACAGTAAACACACAGTGACCTTCAGTAAAAAGCCAGGTGCTGGTGACTCACGTCTATAATTGTAGCTACTCAGGAAGCTGAGATCTGAGCATCATGGTTCGAAGCTAGTCCGTAAATGGAGCTGGAGTGGAGCTGTAGCTCAAGTGGTAGACCACTAACCTTTGCGCACAAAAGCTCAGAGACAGTACCCAGGCCCTGAGTTCAAGCCCCAGGACCATCACAAAAAAAAAAAAAAGGAAGGACTAAAATATTACTCAGTATTACATGCAAGATGGGAAGCAGTTCAAAGTTAAAGCAGACTGACTCTAATTTCCTCCTCCTGGGGAAATTAGAGTAACTGTTAGTGATAACCTGTAGGTTTTATTAAACGAAGTATACATGTTATAGGATATCTATATCTATATAGAGGAAGCCAGGCACCAGGGGCTCACATCTACAAGGCTAGCTTCTTGAGGGGCTGAGATCAGAAGAGTTGTGGTTCCAGGCTGGTCCAGGCAAAAACAACAATAACAACAACAACAAAAAAAACTCCATTCAAAAGAAGCTGAACATGGCAGTATGTGCCTTTCATTGTAGCTATAATAGGAAGCCTAAATAGGTGGGTTGTTTCTTGTCAGGCTCATTCTTCGGCAGGAAAAGGGATCCTATCTCAAAAGTAATCAGTGCTCTTTGCACTTTTTTAAGGCCAGAGGTGTAGCTTAGTGGTAGAGTACCTGCCTAGCAAGTGCAAAGCCCTGAGTTCAAACCTCAAGTAATACCAATAATAATAATGATGATGATGAATATAAATGCCATACAACAGAAATAAAATAACATTCACATGAGTAGAATGAAAAAAGTAAGAAAAGAAACAAGAGGGGTGATGGTGGGTAAACAAAGCCAGGAAAATAAAAATACAGAAGACTGTAAATATAAGCACAAATACAACAATCATAGTAAATGCAAACAGATCACACATGATTATTCAAAGATTCTCATAGTGAATTTAAAAGAGATGAAAACTGGCCAGGTGCCAGTGGCTCATACCTATAATCCTAGCTACTCAGGAGGCTGAGATCTGAGGATCGTGGTTCAAAGCCAGCCCAGGCAGAAAAGCCTGTGAGACTTTTATCTCTAATAAACCACCAGAAAACCAGAAGTGGCGCCACGGCTCAAATGGTAGAGTGCTAGCCTTAAGCTGAAGAGCTGACGGACAAGGTCCAGGCCCACCACCACCAACAACAAAAAATGTAAGGCCAAAATTGATATAACTCTACAATAAATAAGCCCACAAATTTAGTGATTTAATATACTTATTTACTAAGAGATCCATCAAATAAAAAATAAAGAGTACTTAACAAAGAGAATATCTGAATGGCCAGTATATGAAAAGGAGCTAAATTTCATTAGTCATCAGATAAATTACAAGTGAAAACCAAAATGTAGTACCCTCTATATATCCACCAGCAAAGCAAAAAGGAAAATAATGATAGTGAAGTATTAGCAAAAATGTACAGTAAATGGAATATTATTCTCCTATTTCTAGATGTATTCCCAACACAAATGTGTACATAAGTTCACCAAAAGACATGTACAGTAACCCTTCTGTATGGTATTTTCACACACACACAGACAAGACATGTACAAAAAGGTCACTGCAGCCCCAAGTAGAAACAATCCACATATTTACCAATAGAATAAAGTACAACAATCTATTCACTCATACAATGCACTATTATAAAGCAATGAAAATAAACTAACTACAACTATACCCAATAATCTGGATAATTTTACAAATACCAAGTTAAAAGATACGGGCATAAGTTACACTAAGCCAGGTATGGTGGCACAAGCCACCAGGAGAGGCTGAAAGAAGAGAATTATAAGTTCAAGGTCAGCCTAGTCTTTAGAGTGAAATCTTATCTTAAACAAAATCAAAAAAGTTCACACTGCATGCCCTGAACAATGTTCAAAAATAGGTCAAACTAATTTGGGGGGGGCTAGAAGCAAGATTATGTTTTCCTTGTATTATACCTTCACTGGAGAGCGTTCTGGGGTACTGTCAAACTGTTTCTTCATCTGGCTTTATTTGGGTCAGCTGTATCTAGCTATGCCTTTAGAATTTATACACTTTGTTTTATGTGTATTATACTTGACTAAAACTTTGTTTTAGTAGTAATCTTAAGAAATGTATCGACCAAATGCAATACATGTACTATTTGGGTCCTGATTCAAACTAACTATAAAAACTCCTTTTAAGATGACTAGGAAAATCTGAACAGTATCTGGATATTTGATATTAAGGAATTATTTTTTTCAATGAAAAAAAAATATTTTTAAGCATTGTGTCAGCCAGGTGCTGGTGGCTCATACCTATAATCCTCAGGAGAATCCTCAGACTTAAGGATCCAAGCTTTGAAGCCAGCCTAGGCAGGAAAGCCCTTAAGACTCTTACCTGCAATCAACCACCAAAAAGCCTGAAGTAGAGCTGTGGCTTAAGTGGTAGAGCTCCAGCCTTGAGCAAAAAAGCTAAAGAACAGCACACGGGCCCTGAATTCAAGCCCCAGTACCAGCGTACACACACACACACACACACACACACACACACAAACACACACACACACAAATGGAACTGAAGACTATAACACACACACACACAAAGAAAACAACAAAAATTATAATTCTGGGTATTTCATATTATTTGGGGAGAGGATGAGGGACTATGAAATATGACTGGTGGTTCATTAGCTGTGAAAGCTAGACAACATGTGAGTGGATGTTGGTTATATAGTTTCCTAAACTTTTTTTTTTTTTTTGTCAGTTGTGGGGCTTGAGCTGAGGGGACAGCCACCACCACCGTCTGAGCCACAGTTCCACTTCTGGCTTTTTGGTGGTTCATTGGAGATAAAGAGTCTCATGGACTCTCAACCTCCTGAGCAACTAGGATTACAGGTGTGAGCCACCAGCACCCAGCTTCTAAACTTTTGAGTATCTGAAACTTTCAGAGCAAGGAGATGTGTGTATGTATACATATATAATTGTTTGTATATATACACATAAATATGAATAAACAAATGATTTCTAAGAGTCTTATAGCCAACATTATAAAACTTCAAGGTCTTTTCTTTTTAAGTACCTGGATAGAGAACTAAAGCAACCCTGAGTAGAAAAATAGATAATCCATGTTCCTAGATGAGGTAGTTAAGTAAAAAGATCTTGATTTTTCTTAATCTATCAATTCAGTGCATTCTAACCAAAGCCTAAAAATAATTTCTTGTGGAACTTGAAAACAAATCCTAAATTCATACGGAAGAGTAAAGACCCAAGAATAGCTGAAACAATTTTGAGAACTAGGATGGCAACCTGCCCTTCTTGTTACCAACTGCTGCAGACATATTATAAAACCAAGGTAATTAAAACAGTGTGAGAGTGGTACAAAGACACATGGTCCGAGAGCCAGGGTGAGAAGAGGGAGAGAGAGCGAGCCGTGCATTTGTGAGGATCTGGCACAGGGAGGCGCTGGCTGAGTCGGGGGGTAAAGAATGTCACAGACGGGTGACAGCAAGAACGATTACCCAACCGGAAAATAATAAAAACTCGACCTCTACTTTGTACCATATACAGAAGCCAGTTTTAAACGGAAATAATTCATAATGAAATGGCATATGTTTAAATATGTGAATGTTCGGGCTGACTGGGCTAGAATACATAATGAAGTACGGTAGTCAGATGCTTGCACCTAAACTTAGCATCACCACCGAGCACAGAAGCTACAAAGGCAGACTCCGCAGGTGTGTTGTATTGGCAACTCAAATACCACGAGCTGTGCTGCCTGCCTTCACGTCTATGATTTTTCTAGAGTAACGAATAACTCTTGTTAAAGTTCCAAACCACAAATTTGTATAATTTCTCTTTCATTTACATTCCTCAGTTGAGTTACATTCCTGGAAATTTCACCATATTAAATTGTGCCCCAAAGAGTACCATTATGTTAATACACAAAGTGGAGTTAGGGTCTAGGAGAATTATAAATAAATATTCTGTGGGACATGCAAAGGTTGTACAGGATGCAGGGCAATTCTTCATTTGAGGACATACACACATGAACATAAATGCTGCAAAAATGAAACCCACAGTATACTTATATTTTAAAAAGGAAAAAAATTTACATAACATATATTGTTTATGATGATAGACATATACAGCAAAAGTATAAAAATATGTGCAGGGATGATAGGATAATTTCAGGAGTACTTCTGAGAAGAGGGGAGCCGAATGGGGCCAGCAAAGAGAAAAGAAGGGATCTGAACAGAATCTTTGATATTTTCAGTTCTTCACAATAAAAAGCATTGGCTGGAATAGTAGGTCAATGGTAGACTGCTTGTCGACCATTGTGAGGTCTTGGTCTGATCCTCAGAATGATAAACAGACAAAAGTTAAGCAGATGGCTAGTATGCTAACATTCACTAATCTGGTTTATGGGGGTATTGATATTTGTCCTACTACCCAATAATGGTCTCTTATTTTTAAGGATTTGGGATAATTATTCATTTGTAAAGAGGTATGTGATGACAGGGCACACATACATACTGGGATCAGAGACCAGAGGTCACCATTTAGACTATGGTAGTCTTCCAGACAGGGAATGGTAAGAGTCTGAACTGCAGAAGAGAGGAAGTGGACAAAGGTTTCCAGTTTGGTTAGCTGAGCTGACAGTACTGGTCCTTCTGGGAAAAAAAATTACTTTTCTATTTCTTTTGGTCATAGCACTGAACTCAAGGCCTCAAACTTGTTAGGGAGACACTCAACCACTGAGCCATGCCCCCGACTACGCTTGTCACTTTCTGCCTAGTGGCATAGGTATTGTAGTCTGTCCATTTTAGGCTTTCTGCTATTGGATAATAGTCCCACTACTACCTCATCTAGTTCCCACCATTATCTAGCTTCCCACTGTGGAGACAGTCTCACCGAGTTGTCTGCTCATGCTGGCCTAGAACGATGATCCTCCCAAGCTCATTCCCCGGTGGAGTTGAGGGTGACAGGTGCAATCAACAGCTGCACATTGAAAGGGGGTCGTTGTCAGGACTGGCTTCAAAGTGTGATCCTCCCATTCAAAGCCTACCAAATAGTCAGGATTATAGGTGTGAGTCATCAGTGCCAAGTTCAAGAAAATGATTTAAGGATACTTTGGTGTAGTTTTGGGTATCACACACATAACCTGTAAAACCTAAACCAATTGAATACCTAGGATACAGGGCAATGGTATTGAAGCTGATTAAGAAAACATTGCTCTCAGCAGGGTGCTGGTGGCTCACACCTGTAATCCTAGCTACTCAGGAGGCTGAGATCTGAGGAACATGGTTCAAAGCCAGCCTGGGCAGGAAAGTCTGTGAGACACTTATCTCCAATAAACCACTAGAAAACCGGAAGTGGCGCTGTAGCTCAAGTGGTAGAGCGCTTGCCTTGAGCTGAAGAGCTGAGGGACAGCGCCCATGCCCAGAGTTCAAGCCCCACAACCGACAAAAAAAAAAAAGAAAGAAAAAAAGAAAACATTGTTCTCAATCCCCCTATAGAAGCTTAAAAACTACAGAGACATTGATCTGTATAGGTGGTAGGGCTTTATGATTAAATAGACCCAAGCTCTTCTAATAATGAAGCCCTTCACTTTATAACCTAAACACACATTTTCTTACTAAGCATGACAAAGAGATGCTGGTTATAGTATAGAATGCTGCTGTAGAAGAAATGCTTAATCATTTTTACTTTTTTAGTTTACTGTGAGAAAATACTTGTGATTATGTACCCTATGGAATAGCTAAATTATTTGAATTGGGTATGATTTAAACAACAACACAAAAAAGTGTTTTGAAAGATTGAGAACCTTTGAAAACTGATGGTTTCGCCGACTTCATTTCAAGAGTAAGTCCATTTAAAGAAGTACCCTAACTCAGGAAAGAATACGCTAAATTTGAATGCACAGTTTACTAGCTAACAACTATAGGGTTGATTTTCTCCCTCTGTGTTCAATGTCAAAAATGACTTGCATTCTTCCTGCTAAAAGTTTCAGAGAAAATTGAGAAAAGCACAAACTGAGAAGATTGACACCTCAACCAAAGTTTATGGGATTAAACACGCCGTTCACAAACAGGCTCACAAAGAATACTAAGATGACTTTACTTACTGCCCAGAACAAATGTAGACTCGGAGAAGGGGATACCGTGGCTTAAGTGGTGCTGGTAGTGGGTAAAACCTCAGCCATTTCCTGATCTTCACTCGAACTCAAAAGCCCTTGAAAACAAAAACAACAGGTTACAGGAGACATTTGCCCTTCTGCAGAAATCCTTCTCAATTTCCTTTCTAGCTCCTTTCAATCCTACAAAAAAAAAACAAAAACAAACATCCAAAAACCGGGGTGAGGGGAGTGTCACACGTTTGTGTTTCTACGTTAAACACTTCCCTGTAATCTAAATGTGAAAATGTGAGAAAACCTCTTGGTTTTATTAGTAGTAAGGAACAGGGCCTGGGCCTCCTGTCTCCATCACCCAGCACAGCTCAGTACTGAGGCCCAGAGACACCTAGCAACAGGACCTGAGCTCCTCTCCCGGCCTGCTGCACGTTCCAAGGGGTGACAGCAGACGCAGCCCGTCTCCCTGGGACACTCACTCTCCTTTTAGAAGTTGGACATGGGTTAAAGTGTCAGACAACAGGCATTTGAATCTGGCGCAGACATTTTACTTTCTCAAGGGCCAGAAACACAACAGCCCTTCCTTCTGGGCACCCTGTTAGGTATCAGCCGCCAGCACGTTCTGGGGTCGTGCCTGAAATTCAACTCCCTCCTTCTTTGCAGGCCCCGCAACCCGAGGCTCCCCTTTTGCGATCTCCATGAGCGTTCAGGGGCCGTCGCTTCCGCCCCTCCCCACCCCTCTCCTCCTGGCTCCCCAAGTTACCTCGGCCCCTACTCACACCTGAGTCTGGCCTGCTCCAACCCACACGGGCTTCCGTGTACTTACGACGAATCACAAGTGGGCTTTTATTCAAGCTATTTCAGATTCTCCAATCAGCATATCTCTTTCAATGTCCAACTTCCTCCTTATTAGTTTATGTTTGCCGCGGCTCTAGGCCACGCCGAGTACAGTCGGTGGGTACGCCATCCTCCGTTATACCCTCCGATTGGTCGGCGCTTGTGCGTCCTGGGACTAGACTCGATTTCCATTGGATAATGGTGCTTCGCCACTCCCCTACCTCAGTGTCAATCACCCTTTCCTCCTTAACCCAGGGGACCATTGGTCAAGGTAGCCTGAGGGCGGGTTGCCGGGTTGCTGTGCTGCGTGGAGCCGCTTCTCCTTTCCTGGCTATCGCCATGGAGATTGCGCGGGAGGCGGGGAGGGGGGGGGCGGTATCTATACCTTAGTGCCTGTTCCCAGGTTCTGTAGGGGCAGGATTTTGGAGGCTAGTCGGATCAGTCCCAGGATTGAAGAGTCCAAAGCAACAGTTTGCGTTTCATTTATCCCCCCTTATTTTATTTAGCGTTATCATTTCAGTTAGCATCATTCTCTTAGCCTTTGTGATAAACTGAGGTAATGATCATTCTAACCAAGGAACAGACTGGGAAAGAGGCTCCAGATCGATCAAATAAACCACATTCACCAGGCAGCTGGAACTGGAGCTGTTCCCCTTTTAGCAGATTGCTGTGACCAGAATTGGCCAAGATTTTGTACCAGCGCTTCTAGGATCTTGAACAACAACAAAATCCATCAATCAGGCCAACAAAGAGCAGAGGACAAAGGCTGCATACCTCATTGCAGAGGCAGCATAGGAAAACAGACAATAGCCAATCGTTGGTGGCTCACCTATAATCCTAGCTACTCAGGAGGCTGAGATCTGACAATCTTGGTTCGAAGCCAGCCTAGGCAGGAAAGTCCATGAGACTCTTATCTCCAATAAACTACGCAGAAAAAAAAACAGAAGTGTCTCTGTGATTCAAGTGGTAGAGCACTAGCCTTGAGCAAAAGAAGCTGAGTGGCAAAGCCCAGGACCAGAGTTCAGTCAAGCTCCAGGACTGGCCAAAAGTTAATTAATTAAATTAAAAATAAAAGTAAAATTAAGAAAAAGAAAAAAATCAAAATAATATCACATTGAACAGCTGCAGGGACTTGAACTTTTGCCCTTAGACAAAATACGGATATATCATGAAGCAAAGTACTCAGTCTGAATCTCTGATTTAGAGCAATTAGGTTCTAATTCAGAGCTTTATGAATGAAATGGAAGAAGATGGTTGGATTTTATTGACTGCAGAATTCAAGTTTATTCTACCATCATGACTTCATTTGCAGTTCTATAAACAAACCAATAATTTCTTATGTGTTTAAAAACTTGACCTTAGTTGGCCCAGTGAGGTGCTCTGTGGTTAAGAAAGCCATTGTTTTGATTAATTCATTGCATTAGAATTGAATGTCAAATGTAGCTGTGCACTAGTAGAGATGATGAAGATACATAAAAAATAAGAGGTGACTTTTGTCTTAATGAGCTTCATGTGGTTTTGTAATGTGATATTAACAACACAAGAAACACTTGAAGATATAGCAATGGACCAAACCTAATTTCCAGTTAATTGTTTCAAATGATAATACTTCCTATTTCAGAACATCCTGTAGTTGTTAGAGCACTTCTTCACTTGTATTATTTCCAGAGTATTTTGTTCCTGCTGGAGTCTGTGTGTCATCTTCATTGTAAGCAAGAATAATGCTGAGTCCCAAGCATACTGGTGGGATGGGAAAGTTGAAGCCAAAGTGGGAGGGAATTCACAGAGGAGAGATCATTTCAACAAAGAGGCTGAGACAAGAATGAGTGCTGAGTATCTGGAAAACAATGTGGAGACAAATCATGGAAAAATATAACACTATTGCCCAACTGGTCATAGCTAATTCTGAGGTCTTAATGTTTTGGTGGAAAGTAGTCAAGATCTTTTTTGCTTTGTTTTGTTTTGTTGCCAGTCATGGAGCCAGAACTCTGGGCCTGGGCACTGACCTTCGGCTCTTCAGCTCTAGGCTAGCGCTCTACCACTTGAGCCACAGCACCACTTCCGGCTTTTTCTGCTTCTGTGGTGCTGAGGAATCGAACCCAGGGCCTCATGCATGCAAGGCAAGCACTCTACCACTGAGCCACCTTCCCAGCCCAGTCAAGAGTTTTTTGAGATTAGAAAAGTTGAGTTCCTTATACTTCTAATGATCAAACTGGTTTTAATTAAAAGATAAATGAAGAATGAACATGAGAACCAGGCACCAGTGGTTCATGCTTGTCAGCTACTAGTTGAGGCTGAGATCTGAGGATCACAGTTTGAAGCCAGCCCCAGCAAGAAAGTTTGTGAGACTCTTCTCTTCAATTAACCACCAAAAAGCCAGAACTGGAGTTATGGTTCAAGTGGCACAGTGCCAGCCTTGAGCAAAAATCCTAAGGGATAGTGAAGAGGTCCTGAGTTCAAGCCCTAGTCCATAAGAAGGGATTCTTCTGCACCTGGTTGGTGGCTTATGTCTGTAATTGTAACAATTCAGGAGTCTAAGATTGGGAGGACTGTTATTCAAAGTCAGCCTGGGCAGAAAAATTGTTGAGACTCTAGCTCCAAAATAACCAGTACAAAGCCAGGCTACAGGCATTGCTCAAGTGGTAGAGTTCCAGCCAAGCAAGCAAGCCAAGCAATCAAAAGGTCAAGTTCAAATCCTGGTGCTCTCAAAAGCATAAAATTAAAGGGATTCCTACCCTAAGCTCTTCTCTGCTCTATCCACCCAATCTCACCGCCTAATTGGGAAAGTATTCATTTTCCTGATGAAAGGATTGAAATTGAGAAAATGCTGCCACCCTAACATCTTTTGCCCTCTCTGAATTGAAGGCATTTACTCTACTCAAGAGATTACATTCTCCATTCTCCTTTTAAAAGTTGTCTACTGGCCTTGAAGCTTGACTCAAATGGTAGCATGGCTCAAAGTCCTCAGTTTAAACACCAGTACCACCAAAAATAAAACAAAAAGGACTTTATGTTATACAACATTTTTCCATGTTCTCCATCTCTGCTGGGTATTTATTTGTATTCATAGAAAGTACTCAGATGCCAGGTACATATGTGTGTGTGTATGTGTGTGTGTGTGTGTTTTCTGTTGCTGTGGCAGGAAAAAAAATCACAGAGAAAACAAGTTAGAGGAAAAAAAAGATCTATTTTGGCTCAGAGTTTCTGACGATTCGGTCTATGGTCAGCTAGCTCCATTGATCTAGGTATAGGGTGAGAAGATAGCCAGTATGTGTGGTGGAGAATGGTCATCTTATGTCACAACCAGGAAACAGAGAGGGAGAGAGAGGGAGAGAACGGTCTAGCCAAGGGTTAGGGACAAAAATCTGCCCTTCAAAAGTATTATAGTTTGGGGGCTGGGAAGGTGGCTCAGTGGTAGAGTGCTTGCCTCACATGCATGAAGCCCTAGGTTCGACTCCTCAGCATCACATAAGCATAAAAAGCTGGAAGTGGCACTGTGGCTCAAGTAGTAGAGTGCTAGCCTAGAGCTGAAGAGCTGAGGGACAGCACCCAGGCGGAGAGTGCAGGCCCCATGACTGACAAAAAAAAAAGTATTATGGTTTGGATATAAAGTGTGCTCCAGAAGGCTTGGGCATTTGGCAGCTTGGTCCCTCAAGCAAGCAAATGTTCAGAAGAGAGGCTCTTGGGAAGTGATTTGATCTTGAGGACTCTGACTACATGAATAGATTAATCCGCATGAATTCCAAATTCGAATGACTAGTGAGAGATGGTGGATTTGTGGAAGATAGTGCCTGGTTAGAGGAAATAAGCCACTCACTGTAGACATGTCCTGTCCTGGAAAGGTATACTTTGTCCCCAGCCCCTTCCTGTCCCATTCGGCTTCCAGATTCCAACATGGGCTCTGAAAACATGAACCAGAACAACTCTTTCCTGCTTCCAGTTGTTTCTTTCAGTTATTCATCATAGCAATGAAATGTCTGGCTAACACAAAAGGTCTCCAGTGACCTATTTCTGCCAAGGAGGCCCCATTGCCTAGAGTTTCTGTCACCTCCCAACAGCCCATCAAGTTTTGAACCCATTAATGGGTCAAACCCTTGATGAGATCAGTACATTTATGATCCTCAATCTTTTTCCCCAATGGTTGGCAACCACACTTTTAGCACATGGCCTTTGAGGGACACTTTAAATCCAGAGCATAACATCATTGTGCTAAATTATAATTTTCTTCTCTCTTAAACAGCAACAACAATGAAAAACAATGTTTCTACCCTTATGTCCTAAAGGGTCTACAACTTTCCAGTAGTGTCACAGTCTGGGAACCAAGTATTGAACACAACATGGGCCTTTGGGAGATAACCATTAATAGCTGTCATGACAAACTATTTTCATGTCCTTTCCTTTCTTTCTTTCTTTTTTTTTGTCATTGGTCATGGGGCTTGAACTCAGGGCCTGGGCACTGTCCCTGAGCCTTTTTGCTCAGGGCTAGCACTCTACCACTTTGAGCCACAGTGCCACTTCCAGTTTTCCAGTGGTTAATTAGAGATAAGAATCTCATAGATTTTCCTGCCTGGGCTGGCTTCAAACTGTAATCCTCAAATCTCAGCCTCCTGAATATCTAAGATTACAGGCATGAGCCACCAACACCTGGCTTCAACTTTCCTTTCTTAAAAACAAACAAACAAAAACCCTATTGCTCTGTAGTCTCTTTCAACAAAGGAATTCTGGGTGAATAGTTTCCAGCTTATGGTTTTGGGGAGCTGAGGACGAGTTGGAAAAGCACAGCATACAGTTTTTACTCTGGGGTCTGGGGGTGGAGCATATGTATAAAGAAGGTAGGGGAAATTGTGAGGTTTCGTGTACATGTGCATATGTGTGCTTTTCTGGGGAAAGTAGCCACAGCTTTTTATAAAAACTGTAAAAGAATCCACAACCCCTAGAAGATTAGGAATTATAGATGTATAGGGAGATGTGTTTGGGGGAGAAAGCTGGGCAGATGTGTGGTGATGGAGACAGATTCAGGTTCCCAGGTTTATCAGGCCTCAGTTGAAATCAGGCATTCTGCCTGCCCACATCAGCCCA